GGGGGAAGGGGGTGTTTCTTGGTCCGACATGAGAGGTCGCCCAAATTTTGAAGTGGGACACATTCTACAGCCAAGTGGGCTTGATGGCAGCCACAGGTGAGATGCCCAACTCTGGAAGGTGAGCTAGAAAGCAGAGTTTCTTCCTGAGATTCTTCCCTGAAGTGTCAACTGTTCCAGCACCTGCTTCCTTGCCTCTGTCCCAGTAGAGCCCTCCAGTTGGACTGCCGGTTGGGAGGATGCTCAAGAGGTGATCCCATACAGTCTCAGGTGGAGGGGCATCCCTATTCTCTTCTGGCTTCCCAGGAATCCTGGGCTGCAGTAACAGGCATCCCTTGGCTGTTTGCCTGAATGAAGCACCATCCTGCTTCTCCCACTCCTGGCTCTTTGGATCTGCTTCCTGCAGCAAACAGGCAGGCAGGCACCTGGGAGCCCCTCGACCTCAGGATCATCCACTCAGGGCCCACCTGTTTCTAGGCTCTCCCAGAGCCCCCTGTTTCTTGGCCCCTCTCTTCCATGGGGATAAGGGAAGGCAGTCTCTAAGGGCTGGCCCCAAGGCCCTCTAGAGAACACCGTTTGATGGCCAAGGAAGTAGATGCCTCTCTGTATGGAATCAGCTACTCAGTGAGTATTCTCAGTGTGCACATTGGAGTTTCTTCTGTGTAGGGCTTCCAGAATCCACCCCTGGAAGTAGGAGCAAAGTTGTGACCAATGATGGAGTTAGAGCCTTGAGTCAGGCCTTCAAAGCCTGACAGGCTCAGCCTAACCCCCACCCCCCACGTCTCTCTGTCTGTCTAGCGTGTGTTGAGCTGAGGCTTTTCCTAGCGATGCCACCTGAGAATAAAGGGGCTCAAACTCAGGAAGGCTGCCATGCAAAGCAGGCTCTCAGGGCAAAGCCGTAGACAGGAGGTCGAAGCTGCTTATCCAAAGACGGCCATCATGATTGTTGATTTCTTGCTTGCAAGAAACCCGAGCAAGACTCGATGCAAGGAACTGAATCCCCGAGACTTTGTGCCAATAAGGGGACAGAGCTCTGAACAGGCGGGATCTTATGGCTTGGTTTTCTTGTCCCCCCTCCCACCATGCACGCACCCCCCACACACACACACTCTGACTGGCGGTCATTGATTGCTGCTGCTTTCAGTGGAAAAGAGCAGATGAAGGAACTGGGCATTTGCAGTTGGATTTACCCAGAGTGGATCAGGACCCCAGCAGTGTTTGTGCCACATCTGCTTCTGCCCCCCTGGAGCCCCAGCCAGAGCCACCCACCCGGAAACCAAGTCGATGGAGCTGCTCTGGGGCAGACATGCCAGCAGAGGTGGCACCGCTTCCTTCATAGAGGATGAAACGAAGAGCAGAACTTGAGTTTTGTCAGTTGCCGCAGGAAGGTGCGAGGCTGTCCTGGGGGAGACTAATCAAAGGGGCTCAGCAATCCTTTGAAGCCAGGAGAGCGGCTGTCCTAGACGGATGAATCCGATGAATTGGGAAGATGCAGCTGGAAAAGCAGGGAGAGGCAGCACTGGCGGTTTCCCAGAACGGGGCTCCCTCGGGATTCTCTGCTTCACCTTCCATACGTGCAGGTTCAGCCGTTCCATTTTGCCCAATAGGGGCTTTGAGGTGCTCCCCCCTCTCTCTCCCTCCCCCCACCCCTTGCCTGAAGTTGCCCCATGGATCACTGTTGAAGGGTCCACGGTCTCCAAACACATGGGGGAGGGGCCTTGACTCATTCTTGGAGTCCAAATCTCTGCAGCCGCTCTCCTGCAGAGATGCAACAATGCAGCCTTGACGCTCGGAGAGATCCTCCATTATCATTTCCCTTCCTAGCTGGAAGCCGAGTGTGCCAGCCCTCCTTTGTGGCCTCAACCACCAAATATTTCTTGCATCACATGCTTTGCTCCCACTACTTTACTCTCCACAAGGATGGTTCACAACATCTGCTCCAGGTTTTCAAAAGATACATGATCTAATTGTTGTACACCAAGCACAGTTGTGTCCATAGCTCTCTCTCTCTCTCTCTCTCTCTCTCTGTGTGTGTGTGTGTGTGAGAGAGAGAGAGAGAGAGAGAGAGAGAGAGAACTCAGCCATAGCATTAGCCCTGCAGCATAATTTATGCAGAGTGGCAGCATTGCACAAGGACTGGAAGGGACACCCAGAGCCATCTATTCCAACCCAATGCCAGGAAAACACAGCATTTGTAAAAACAAACAAATAGCCCAGCAACCTTTGCTTACAAACATCCGAGATACCCTCTCTGGACCTGTTCCTAGGGGATCCCAAAGGATCGAGAACTTCTTGGACTGAGGCTCTTGTGGAACCTGGCACAGGACGGGAAGTGGCGTGTAGGTTTCGCCTTCATGTCCCCAGAGGCAAGCTTGTTGCTTTAGTTTGTTCTTCTTGACAGCCCACCCAGCCACCCACCCTTTTCTGGACAAAAGCGGCATCCAGCGTACCTCCCTCCAAGCCCGCAGCCTCTTTTCTGTGCCTGGGAAATGAGTGGGCCAACGGTCAATCTTAAGCCAAGAGGGACTGGACACACAGTTCTGCTCCAGCTGCCAGCCAGAGTTCCTCGTTTTTCCCTATTAATCTCTGAACCACCTGGCACTCTCCCTGGCCAAACTGTGGTTCAAATCCAGATTATTTTGTACAGCTGGCTCGGTGGCCATACATTTTGTGACAAATGTGGCAATCAGTGTGGCACCTCAATGGGTGTGTTTGCAAAAGAGAAAAGACTCCAGCCGATTCCTGCCCCTCCCCCAAAAACTTCTAGGGGATCCCTAAGTTTTCCTAAATGAAGGAAAGAAAGCTTTTTCCTTCCCTTCTGCTCAGTTCCAGTCAATAGACCTCTAGACAACATTTGCACCCATGCCTTTACTGGAGAGGGGAAGAGTCCCCCTCTTTGCCACCATTGCAACACTCCTCTTGACTCCTCCTGACTCCAAGCGGGTCCCAACCCCCTGAGTTCTTCTGTACTTAAGAAAGAGGGGCCCAGGAAATCCCCCTGCCACTGCCCCCCCCGTCCGCCCTCTGTTCTCCTTCCAGAATTCTCACAGTCAAGGACTGCAGAGTTGGAAGAAGTCTTGGATCCTCTTTCAATCCTGAGAGGCTTTGGTAAGAAAGGGATCTCTGAAGGTCATTCAGACTAGCCCCAAACATAAAAATAGAAGGACCGTTTCCCTGTGAGTTCTGTTCGCTGCATTAGCTTCCGGATCAGGAGGTGTTTCCCCGTGAAGCCTCTGCCACCGGGAGTCTCAGAGGGCAGAGGGAGCAGCTTCTCCCTCAGGGGCTCTCCAGCAGTGCTGGGGCCACAACCTCGGGTAAGGGTCTGTGGCTGCAAAATTGGGTGACAGCCACGAGCCTAAAATTCCAACTCCCATTTGTTGCTGCTCTTTGAAAGGGTTGGGTTGAGCGAAGGCTTGTTGGCTTGTGTCTTTTGTGGACCACCCTGTTGCCCCCCCACCCCGGGGGCTTTTTTTCTTAAAAGGCAGGCTGGCTGCTCTCTAAATAACAGAACCATCCCCTTCCGAGGAGGAGGAGGAGGAGGAGGCGGCGGCGGCACGGAAGAGACAGCCTTGCCGATGACTCAACAGACTCCTGCCTCCACCACGGGGCTGCAGAGCTGGGAATCTGCTGCCTCCTTCCTCCTCCTTCCTCCCTGGGTAGAAGAGGATTCTGCAGGGCTGCTCCCTGGGACCGCCGGCACCCCCCGGGGGGGGGGAATGGCTTGTAGTCGGAGGGGGATCCAGAGCTCTGCCCTTCCTGCCTTGCCCGCCCCCCCCTCCTGCGTTCCTCTCCTCTGCCGGCCGATGAGCCTCCTTCCTCGCTCACGGGTCCCCTTTCCCTCTGCAGCCGCTGGTGCTTCTGATGGAGTGGCCCGAGGCCACCAACTTTGCCTGCCTGATTGCCGGCTACTGCCGCCTTCTGGTGGACTCCAAGAGGATGATCTTCGCCCGCCCCCCTACCCAGCCGCCGCCGCCGCCGCCGCCTCCAATTTTCAAGGCAGGTACGTTTCAACCTCTGCTATTTGTGCCCCTAGCCTCATCCCTCCCCAAAAAATCCCCCTACTGAAGGCTAAGCCCCCCCCCTTGAGGGAAGGGCATGCTCCCTGCTGGCAGCCAACCTTTGCTGTGCTGGATTATGACCTCTCCCTTCCCTTGCTCCACCCCATTGGAGTGGCTCTGTGGGGCAGGTGCTTCCCACTGGGCCAAAATACCCCCCCTTTTTTATTCTGCCCACCGTTATGGCAGGACAGAGGCTGCGTCGGGGAGGGGGCAGCGATGGGGGGCAGCAAGAAGCGCAGGTGGAGGGCCTCTGGCCTGCTTCAGCCTCCTTTCTCCCCCTGAAGGCTGCTTTAG